AAAATATTTATTAAAAATTATAATTTAAAAAAAAAAAAGAAAAGGAAAAGAAGGTCTTTGTCCACCCATGGACCTTTGACCCACCATCAGGTCTCTTCGTTCAACTTTTCCTTTTTCATATTTGATTTTAAAGAAAAAAAAATTGAAATAGCAAACTACATATCCTAGTTCGATTTCTTCATTTTTATCCCTTTTTTTAATCTTCTCAGTTTCTAAAGAGGTTTCAAAGAAACCATTAATGGTGAAATTGATATGTTTCAGTGAAGAATTTTTTCAACTCTACAAAAGAATTTCTGAAATTGTTTGTTTGAAATCAACGCTTCTTCAATTTCTTCATTTTCATCCCTTTGCTCGTATTTTTTACGGAAAGAAATTAAACCGTTAATGAAGGAATTAAGTTGTTTTCAGAAGAAAAAAAAAATACTTATTTCTGAAAAAGGAATTTCAAAATTACATTAGCTGAACTCACTTCCATTTGCTTCTTTTTATCTCGTTTGTGTGCTTGGTACCGGAGGAAAATCAATTTCAAGTTCAAATTTTTAATTCTTGAAAATGGTAGGGGTGGTTTCCAGATGAATATGGTAGTGGTGAAGGAGAGAATGAGGTGGTTGACGATAAGAGAGAAAGAGAAGGATGGATGGTGGCAGCAATATCGGTGGAAATGGTGGTGGAAGTAGTTACGTCAGGTTTAATTAAGGAAGAAAGAAGAAGAAAGAGATATAAAAAAAAAGCAAAAAAAGGTCTCTCACGCTCTGAATGTATGTGTACTGCACTTCCATGCCACATCAACGAAAAATGTTTAATAGGTACTAGTTTTGAATAATATAAGTGTTCAATAGGTACAGACTCTAGTAGAGGTGTTTAAGTGAAATATCCGGACAACTTTGAGTGGCTGTGGATGACTTAAGCCTATAAAGTTTGTTAGACATGGATAAGATGAAATCTTCACGCCAAGTGGCAAAAGATTATTGGCTCTCTTTTTTATTTTACTTTTTTTTAAAGAGAGTAAAAATACCAAAAAAATTTTAATCCTAAAAATACGACACTTTAATGATTTTCATTTTTTTCAAACTAAACATACTAAAATTGAATGAAAATCAAAATGACAAAGATTAATCCCAAACATAACATTTAATGCTGAAATTGTGTAGAAGGAAGGATAAAAAATTACAAGCCTACAAGTGTACATTAGATATATCACATCGCTCGATAGAATCGAGTTATATAATATATATATATAGTATATTCCTCCATAGAAATTCATTTACGCTTTAAAGCGATAAATAATTGACATGCTTTCTTATAATTTATTTTCATCCATGCTGAAATCTCATCGCTTTTGAGAATAGTCCTTGTAAAAGCTTCTTTTGCTATTTCTCTCCCAAAATGATTGATGAAAAGTCCTTCTAAAACAGCCCTTAGGTTTATCATTAAAGTCTTTGCATCAGCCTCATCCACAAGCTTTGATTTGGGATGTGTTAACTCTATTCTCTCTATGCTAAAACAATCATTTTTCTCCACCACTTTAGTCATGTCTTCAATAGAGGGAAAATACACTGGCACATTGAATGAGTTAACTAAAGACTCATCTAACTTACCCTGTGGAAAAAGAAGAAGAAAGAAACCTCAAATATTATAAATGTATGGCTATATCTAACTAGTTCTTCTGTTTCGATTTGTTTGTTTGATTGTTATTTGATTTGAAGTTTAAAAAAGTATAGAAGACTTTTGAATCTTATGATCTTAAACTAAAAATACGCTGACTGTATCAAAAAGGAAAGTTGAAATTAAAAGGTTAACCAGACAAACAAATTGAAATGGATGAAGTACCAAGTAATTTAACTACCTACCTCGTTCACCAAATCCATAAGACTAGAACCATAGAGGGAAAATACACTGGCACATTGAATGAGTTAACTAAAGACTCATCTAACTTACCCTGTGGAAAAAAAAGAAGAAAGAAACCTCAATTATTATAAATGTAGGCTATATCTAACTAGTTCTTCTATTTCAATTTGTTTGTCTGATTGTTATTTGATACGAAGTTTAAAAAAGTAAAGAAGACTTTTGAATCTTATGGTCTTAAACTAAAAATACGCTGACTGTATCAAAAAGGAAAGTTGAAATTAAAAGGTTAACCAGACAAACAAATTGAAATGGATGAAGTACCAAGTAATTTAACTACCTACCTCGTTCACCAAATCCATAAGACTAGAACCAAAAAATTTCAAGAGACGTTCACTTAATTGTGGTGAAATTAGAAGCATCATTCCACCAGGAACAATTTCCTCAGCTCTTGCATTGAAGAACACTTCCATGTCCTTTTCAAATTGAGCAACATAAGCATTCATTACTTCAATATTTGAAGCACCTATATAATGAATCAAACCCTTGTTCCATGATGGAGATTTCTCATCTAACATCTCTTTTGGAATCTTAGATAACCAATGTATAGAAGTAGAACAATGAGCAAAATGTATTGATCGCGACGGAAATAATCTACCATGAAAAGATCCTGGAACTCCAAATGCATAGTAGGATCGATCAATAGGTAGTGATCGAAAGAGGGTGTTGAAGTCATTGGTGATATGATCATTGAAGAATATTTGAAATTCAGGAATATTATTTTGGTATTTTTCCTTTAAAGCTTCTACAACATGTTGCATTGCACTAAAAGTGTTTGGTCCAATTGAACATCCCAACTCTGTAATACGAAATGTGTTTGAAGAAGATAACATGATTTTGATGTCAAGCTTTCGAATAATTGCATCTCTCACCATCTCCTTTGCACTATCTAACACTTCTTTCTGCATTCAATAACAAATAAAATTTATTTATTTTACTGTTATAGTGGGTAAAGTTCATACAATAAATTTACTATGACATATATAATATATTGCATTGTACTGTCACCGTGGATAAATTCAGTTACTGTACAAATAATATATTGATGTATGGTTTGCATTTAGGATCAAACGCTTACCATTATATCAAAATCTATAACTAGTATTACTAAGGGCACACTCATTTTTCTTAACTAAGTCTATCATGCATGTGTCATCCAATCCAGACCATGGCACCCCCTCGTGGACCTTGTCATAGGCAAAATGTTGCATTACCCATCATGGTGCTTGATGAATTCTTAATTTAGAGTTGGGAAAGGACTCATTTATGTCATCTGTTAAATATTTGACTGATCTGTGACATTGTCGTTTGAGAAAATGTTCATTCATGCCATTATATTTAAACTTTTGTTTTGCAAAATCAATTTTTAACTCAACAAGACCCCAAACAACTTTTAACACTTTTCAATTGGGGTATTGGATCAAATGTACTTATTTTGCTTCTTCTTCCTCAAGAACACCAAGATCACATGAATAACATCAATAACTCCCAAATTTTCAACTTCTTCAATTCTTCATGAAATCACCTCAAATTTCGGCCACGTCATTAATTTTAATTTTTTTAAAGCAAAAATCAAAATTCTAAAATCATTTATGGAGTTAAAGAAAACTCACCCATATTAAAAAAAACATTTAAAAAAAAATGAAAATCAGTCTTAAAATTTCAAAAATCTTCTTTGATTCGTGTTTTGTTGTTATTTCTAAAAAATCTTTGTTCTCTAGTGTTTTTTTTAGTTTATGTTCAAAATTTCAAGTGATCTAGAGTTGCGGAGAAAATTTTATCATTAAAGGATGTGGAAGTTTTGAAACGTTGAAGAAATTTCAAGTGAGTCTTGTTGAGTTTGATTGAATTCAAGTTTAAAAGATATTGAGTTTTGGTATCTTGCTCGAAGGGAAGCTACTCTTGAAATTTGAGGTGATTTCGTGAAGAATTGAAGAAGTTGGAAATTTGAGAGTTCTTGATGCTGTTCATAAGGAAGAAGAAGCAAAAAAGTACATTTGATCCAAAACTTCAATTGAAAAGTGTTAGAAGTTGTTTGCGGATTTTTGACAATGCTGAACTACTTATCTTATAATTCAACGTGTAGGCGGCAGTTAGCAATATAAACCCAATGAGAGGTTGAGGTCGAATCCCACAAGGAACGGTAAACAAAAATTCAACTCACGTACTAAACTTTTGTAAATTTGGTTAATCGATTTAACATAAACGTAAATTTGAGAGATTTAGATTATCAATAATAAGATGTTAACACAAGCGAAGATCAAGGAGTTTCAACAAGTAAGAAGGAAATCTTAGGAGTGTGCGTAATTGAACATCAATTTTAATTCGCATTGTCGGTAATTGCATTGCTAAAAACAGTTGGTTATTAACGGATAGGCTAAATTAACATGCACCATTGAGGTAAGTAAAAAATGATTTTACAAAATCGGAGTTAAAAAATAATCATATGGATGAACTTTTTCTCATACGACGATGACATAGATGAGCCTTTGCTCAAAACAGTTGATATATATAAGTTGAAGACAAGAAATCAATACCTGCAATTGGGAGTTTTTGGAGTAGCTGTAAGGATCATCACCAGCATTCATGGGAAAAGATGTTGTCATTTTGGTTCAATGTGTTCTCTTCACTCATAATGTGTTCTTATATATATGGATTTTGCACTCTTTAACTCCACCTTTCTGGATGTAGTGGTGGGGCTGCTTCACTCTTCACCAGAAGTCTCGGGTTCGAGTCATGAATATGAAAAAAAAGTCATGTTGGGAGCATCACCCTCAAATAGGCCCTGCACTGTGTGATACTAAAATTTAGCCGGGGCTCCAATGTGGGCTTCAGGAACCGAGTGAAAAAAAAGAAAAACTTATTCTAGATCTTAGATACCAAAACAATAACAATTAAAAAATATTATTGCGGTTCAATATGAGACACACATGGTATATATCATTTACCGATAGAATATCTTAGAGTTCATGCTTAGTTTGATAGTTTAATATTTTATACTCTATTATTTTTAACAAGTTTACTTATGAAAAAAATATTGTTTTTACTTGACAATTATTGTGATTTATAGTACTTTTACATTGTTTTTAAATATCTAAATTTTATTTCAAAACTTAAAATTCAAATTCACAATCAATGTTTAGAAATTTGGATCTTGTATTTCAATTAAGCTACATAAATTGGAACAGAGGAAGTATATGTATATTGTATACGTACTATTTTGTATCTATTATATAGATACCGATTAAGTATATATATATTACTAACGTATACTACTATTATAAATTGTTCATGATAAATAATCTGAATATTATCATAAATATGCAATATATGAAAATATATAACTTGATGACACGACTTGAATAATTGAGACAACAAAATCTCATGGGATCTTTTCGTATTGATTATTATTTCTTATAAATAATAATTAAAGAGCAAATTAAGCATTTTTCACTTTAAAATAGACTTGAATTATTCAAATGTATGAATTTATCTGATGTCTATTTAGTGGTATAAAATTGAGATTATTATATTATGAAAACAATTTGTTGGTTGAAGTCATGAAAACGAAAAATACTTCCAATATAAAATCAGAAGTAATCAACTTTTAAGATAAAAAATACATTACATATAAAAAATACTAACTTACGACTTTTAATCTTTTCATAAATTTATTTATAACTATTATTCACTTATAAACAACTTGCATCATAATTCATATAACTAACATGTGAACCAAACGAACCAACAAAATCCAAGTCATCAACTTGTTTAATATATATTCATGATATAAACGAAAGTTCATATAACCAGAGGCAAACTCATGATTTGAAGACTTAGGGTGCATCGATATTACCTTAACTTAATTATGAGCTCTAAGATAAACTTAAAATAAAAATAGTGAAACAAACACTCCAGCTTGATTTGAACCCAAGTCTCGGGATCATCTAGCTTGTATGTCACGACCCGAGCCTACATCCTGGACGTGGCAGACACTCGAAGACCATTGCTGGTCCCCAAGCGAACCCTCATCCTGACTGACTACAAGCGGAAGACTAACTCAAGCATACAAAAGCTTAAAAATTGAATAAAATTCATGAAACTTAAACACAAGCTTTAACTCAAAAGAAAACTGAATAAAAATAAATTATTCAACTTGCCATAAAATAGGCAACTTAAGTCTTTAAAACATTTAATAAAATACATGAATAATACAGACTTCTCAACTATACTGACTATCTATGAAGCCTCTAACTGATAAAGATGGAAGTCGGGACAAGACCCACGACATCCTGACTAAACTGAAAAGTAAATGAAATCCTCCGAAAACAAGGAGGCTCACCATAGCTAACTCGAACTCCCAGATGTATCAACGAATCTACTGTTGATGATCCTGAATACATGTGTCTGCATCACGAGAAGATGCAGGCCAAATGGCTCAGTACGTGGATGTACGAGCATGTAAGAGAAATTCTAAAGCATAAACATAAGCTTGAAACTTGATAAAAAGGAACATACTTACCTCTTTTCAAACCCACTCAACTCAACTCAAGAATAAGATACTCAACTCAAGGATAAGATACTCAACTCAAAGATATGATACTTGACTTTGGGTACTCAACTCGGGATACTCAACTCAATATAAAACAACAATACACATGCAATATAATGAAAAGCTTTATAAAACAGTAAAAACAACTTAGTTCATTAAAGAAAATGTAATAACAAACTCAATTTTACTTATATAATGAAATAATATAGTTTCTGTGGGAGTTTCTCTCACCGACAACCACCACTATGAGCCTAAGTGGTGATACAACGTCTTGCCCACGCTGCCAGAACTGTCATATACTTTGCCATCATATAGAACACTTAACTTAGTGGATCCACTAGCTTAACTTATGTGATCATCTAAAAAATATGACCCATTAATACCCATGATGGCTACTATGGTTTATGGAGACTTGAGTTAATATGAACTCGCATCCCCATATCGGGGCTCAATACTACTCCCAAAATATACTTAGCTCATATATTTTAAAACAACTTCTTTCTTTGGTTTGAGATAATTACTCAAAACTTAGCTTAAAAGCTCTTTTGGAATCGCTGTTCCCTTTCTTGCTCAAAACTCTTTTGGAAATCTCATTATCCTCTCATCTTAAATGTGAAAACATTTACTCTTGAGAATACTTAGTTCTCATTTATCATTTTAAATAAAATGAACTTTACTCTTATTCTTTACTCAACTTCTAAGCTTAAGTCTTAAAACAAAGTTTAAACATTTGTAAAAGACTTCTTAAAATAAGGTTCATGTCGAATTATGGACGTGAACTACTCAATGCAAGGTTTTCAATGAAGATACTACTTCTCTCAATGATACTCAATTTATGGGGTTAATGCGAAATTTATGGGCATAAACGACTCGACTCGAAGGTCTACACAACTACATGGAACACATGTATGTGACTCTTCTCATTCTCTTACTTACTCAAACTTAGTTCGAATTGATAGTTGATCTCAAAAGATTCACAATTGAACTCAAAGGTTTTCTTGAACTTACGCTTAACTCTCTCTTGAATGTGAATTATGAATTCAAGAGTTATGTTTCATGATATGAAGGATCTCGTGATGACAAAGCAGACTCATGAATAAATTCTCATCATTCTCATACTCACTTGCTCGAGTCTTGAAACAAGTTACTAGAAGTTGAAGAAGACTCCACAAAAGGGCTCAAAGGGACTTTCTTAGAATGTTCGAAAGAATTCTCAAAACTTAACTCTTAACTCTACCTTGAATTTGAATTATGAATTCAAGGTTGTGATCATGTTAGGAATGATTTTATGTGTTTAGAAATAGCTTAGAGTAGTTAGAATCGAAAATGAGTGAAGGTGCACTTTAAACAAACTCAAACGGGGCAACCGACGACAAACTAGATGGGGCAGGCGACCCTGCCCCTAAACTTCAGAGGAGGGTTTGGGGCGCTCTGGCTGGCGCATCGCGGTAGGCCCCAACCCAGAAAATTCAACAAATTTTCCTTGCTCGTTTTCTCACCCTAACTCGCCTAGAATCGAATGGTTCATTCCCCAATCACTTGGATTCAATTACTTAACATAAGTACACTCTAATATACTCAAAATAAAACTCAAATTACTGAATTTCATATCAAGAAATCATCAAAACCCCAACACAACAAGATTTAGAATGAAATTAGAATGACATTCAAGAACACCTATCAAGAACTCTAATCTTTCAACTTCAAGAATGAAATTTCGCTAGAAAATAATATGATTGGCATGTGGTGAACTAACCCAACACTATGGAAGCTTACATACCTCTTAGGGATCAAACCCATGGCGAAAATCCGCTACAACACACACGAATCTCGACGAACGCTTGATCCTCTCCTCTTTTCTCCTCTTCTCTCTTCTTCTTTTCTCTTTTTGAACTCTTAACTAAAACCCTAGGCGTAAACTAGGGTTATAAAACTGAACTTAGTCAGATTAGACCCCTAAAATATTACTAAAATGAATTAAATCTGATTTGGGTAAAGAAAATACCAAAATATCCCTTACTATTTTCGGCTAACTTTCCTTAACTGGACAACCTAACTTCAAAAGGTCATATCTCACTCATCCGACCTCTAAACTTAGCAAACTCGGCAGCGTTGGAAAGATAATTCAAAGTTCTTTCCTACGGTATCTGGTAGAACACCTAACTCATCCTGAGCTAGGAGTTATGCTCGTTTGAAGTCGACCCAAAACTCATACTTAAGCATAACTTGCAAAATTTCAGAATTTGCTATTTCCAATTTAGTTCTTTTTCGAACTCAAGGTGCTACATCTAGTGAACTTAACACTTAAGAAATTTTAATTCTTCGGTAAAATCCTACTCACAACGAAGGATGGTTCAAGTCTTAGCTCAAAAATTTTCTGGGGTGTTACATTGTGCTAGCAACACAATGACACTCCTATGCTTTTTACGGGTGCACTGTTAATTATATCATAATTTCTATCAGTTTCTCAAGATAAATATACATATACATACATGATTTTTTCTTAAGTTAACGAATGCACGTGCGCCCCCACCTAGAGGGATGAGTCCGCCTATGCATATAACTAACATGTGAACCAAACGAACCGAACGAAATCTTTTTTTATCGATTTGTTTCAAATATACTCTAGATACAAAAGAAATATATAAAGATAACTGTAAAGTCCAAGTCATGTTATCTCCAATAATTTATTCTACAAATTTGGTCCACACAAATTCCAATTATCGTTTTATTGAAATCATCCTTAGACATATTACCAATCACTCATACTTTGCCCTTTCGTTTTTATGCACGTGTTTATAAATACTTCCAACTTTATAAATATCACATCCGCTACATAAAAAAATATATTATGTATTCACTAAATTATTTAGGTCACTTTTTAGGTAAAATTACGTGTAATGACAAACATTAGGGGTGTGTTTGTGGGTTAAATGTTTTCCAAATCAACTCATTTTTCTCAAATTTAAGGAAAATGACTTCCCTTCAAAACTTAAGGAAAACATTTTCTAAAACTCTCTTCCAACTTCAAATTACAATTATTTTTTTATTGAA